TCGTTTCAGATGCAGCGCTGGTGAGCGAGGAGGTAGCGAGGGTCAGACTCTGAGCAGGGGACTCTGGGACCAAGGGCTCGGGGCTGAAGAAAGCACCTGCTGGGGCCAAGAGCCCAGCCTGTGTAGCAGCGGTGGTAGGACCTCCAGGAGGGGCTGAGCTCACTGCTGTCCCACTGCCTCCCTCCCCAGTCCTCAGAGCTGGGAGCTGTGGCAGCGGGTCCATCCGGGAAAGAGCCTGTAGAAAGTGACTCCCGGGGCCACCTCCACACTCGGCTTTCCTTATTGCTATTTACTGAGCGCCAGGCCGCCCTCTTAGAGACCCACAATCAGGGCCTGGCCACCTCTCACAGCTGCAGGACGCGAGAGCCTAGGAGACAGACCCCTTTGGGAAACCCATGTATGCTGGCCACCAGCTGGGCTGTTGTGGCTGTGGGTGGCCTGCGGGGTGGGTGGGTCACCAGGGTCAAGTGAAGGGCAGCTCAGATTGACCAGTCCAGCCAAAAAAATATTTAAAGAGGGAGGTGATGGGCAGTGATGCAAGGATGAGGGTTAGGCTGGCTGGTCAGGGAGTCTCTGAAGAGGTGGCCATTAAGCTGAGACCGAGAGGTCAACAAGGCCTTGAGGACAAAGGGCCTCACTCAAGAACGGGCTTGGCAAGCTTGAGGGGAGCCAGTGTGGCTCCAGTGGCAGGCGGGGGAGGTGGTTGGAGAAGGGAGCAGAGGGGTAGGCACAGCCGGGCCACGTGGGAAGGTCTAAGCCTGTGGTTGGCAAACTGCGGCTCAAGAGCCACATGCGGCTCTTTGGCCCCTTGAGTGTGGCTCTTCCTAAACCTTAGGAGTACCCTAATTAAGTTAATAACAATGTACCTACCTATATAGTTCAAGTTTAAAAAATTTGGCTCTCAAAAGAAATTTCAATCATTGTACTGTTGCTATTTGACTCTGTTGACTAATGAGTTTGCCGAACACTCATCTAAGCCAAGTTAAGAAACCCGGGCTTTCACTCTGCAGGCAATTTACAGCTGGTGAGGGGCTTCAAGCAGGGGATACTATGACCTTAATTATACTCTAGAAAGACCACTCT